CTTAGAAATAGCAGTCTCCACCATAGAACGCGGCGGTAGATCCTTTGTACGCATCACATTGCGGTCGTCAAGAAGTGGCACTGTTGTGTCCAAGAACCAAATACCGTATGAAACCGGAATTAATCTACGCGCGTGAGGATCTGCCCAATCCAGCATGTCCAAACTCACACGACGTAGTAGCTGGTTGGCCGTAGAGCGGATATACAGCATACGACGCTTATGGTCCCGCACAATAGACCACTGTGTGGCTTCTCCCATTGGCGGTCGCACCACCGTATTTAGCATATGCACTGCATCTGACACCGCTCGCTGTTCCTCGGTCGCTTCAACGTACGACGCATGGACTGACGGTGCGTTATACCCCTCACTAATCTTCTTGTTCAGCACGGAAAGTCTCTGAAACCTCTCGGTTGATCCGTATCCTCCAGGGAGTAAGTTTCCGGTATTGACAGTTCCCGTAGCCTCGCTCAAATGTTTTTCCAGCAGTGCCAGTTGCTCTTCAAGTGGAGGATCATTGGTCAGTACCCCATTTGGGTTATCATGGAAAATTGGGTTCCCTTGCAAGAACTCAATTACCAAATTTTTCCCATTTCGATCGTGCACACTGACATGAAGTGGCGCTGAATGGGCCTTGCCGTCTTCAGGACTAGGTACGTGTAGAACTTTATGAGCAACTTGGCCGTTAATCCCTGCGAGTTGTACGTTTTCAAGACCCTTTTTCACCTCGTCGACCGTAGCAAAGTTGCCCAGAATATAGGAACAAATTGAAGTGACAACGGGCTTGGAAACGTTGAAGTTGCCGACCCCATTCTCGGGATTTGGGTACTCTGTTGCATCCAGATAGAGCCACGCAGCAGAGAGGCCGGCCTCATTCAGTCCGTCAGCCGCCACATTGACACCGTACACATTTGCGGCCACAAAGCCCAATTTATTTTGCCACTCGAAATCTGGGCAATCAGGACACCCAGAAACTGGCAACTCTTGGAAATGGGTATTTCTCGGGATCACCTCGAGCGTCGAGTCCAAATCCGCCTCAAAGTCCATAGTGCGGCCGCTGATGACACTTTGCGACGTGGCCGCAGCGGACAGCAGGAAGTCCGAGCAGCCATCGACCGGAAAGAAAAGCTGCAGCGCGAGAATTGCCACGGGCAGGAGCACTCGACGTGCCATGGTTGCGAGCTTTTGGGTTGTGAAGTGAAACCATTGGCTAAATGGAGGATTCCGTGCGCGTTGATTGGGCAAAAGCGCGTGTGAAAAG